GACCGGCACAGCATCAAGAACCCTCCAGCCCAAGCGACCCCAACCTGCAGCGCGGCATCGCGGAGATAGCTTTCGCTCTCCTTGGCCGTGGGCGGTCTGAGTCCGAACCAAGATGTGATCAAGGAGGCCGCCCAAAGCCAGGTGGGCAGCTGATCAATTACCTTCTGCCATGCCAAAGCTGGTTTGATTGTACGACACAATTGAAGCCACAAATCAATGGGGACCGTCTTGTGCTGCAGAGCTTGTTTCATCTACGCTTTCAAGCTCTTCAGTACATGTTGTAGTACGCCAAGCACACTTTGGCAGTTTGGCAGCTCCAGTTTGGACATTGCAACTTACGGACCTTTCTTTTGGACTTCTTCTGGACCCAGCTTGGTTTGTTGCTTTCTGCGTGCGCTGACACCGGCTGCACGCACAACAAGCCTCTGCACCATCATCGTGATTGTGATCTTGTTCTCGGCTCGCATGGTTTTGTGCACTCGCTCGCTCGTTCTGATCTCGTGAATTTGCGGGGGAGCATCTCGCTTCACAGCGGCATCTCGGACTTTTTGGAGGTATTCTGACCGTATCAACTTTTGGATCGGAACGCCGCACCCGATTTTTCTGGCGGTGCCCCCATTTCAACTATCCAGGTTCTAGGCTTTGGCTCATCTGCTGAATGCAGATGAACTGGGCCGGTCTGTAGCGCCCCAAAGCAAACAGAAGAGCCCGCGGGCATTCCGCAATGGGATACGAGTTAAACAACCTTATGTGGCGGGCCAAGACTCCAAGGAAACTCATGGCTTACCCGGCTCACATTCGGCCGGCCGCAAATTGTGCAGTTTTTAATAAAACCATTGGTCGACGTCAGTTTTTGCAACGCTGCACTTAAGAGCCTTGCCAGCCACGCCACATCTGCCCTGGTGGCTGTATGTCCGGGTGACAGAATTGGTACCGACTTCCGTCTTTCCGTTTCTGACGAGCAAGCTTGTGGCACATGACCCTGGCTCCAGAAATATGAACCCTGCCCCCCTAGAACTGCGGTCCTTCACAATTGTCGTGTCAGCTTCCACCAGGATTGCTCTCCCAAGGGGGTGCCGGAGGGGGGAACCATAACTATCAAAACAAGTCGGGTTGTCACGTTGGCCCATGATGCTTCAGGCCGGTGAGACATGCGGTTGGCAAAAGGACCACCGAACTTCAACTTTGCCTAAATAAAAAATAATACATCCATTTTGCCTAACAAACATACACATCCACAGCTTGGACCAGTGGGGAGGGGGGGCAGTCCGGAGGGCTGGTTGCATCTGAGCGAGGCTCCAGCAGCTCCACCGGTCGGTACCCCGCCGTGTGGAGCTCTGCGAAGCTCATTGGAGCTTCCGCTTCCGCCGCTTCCGGCGCCGTCTTGGGTCGCTTGGGAGGCGGGGCATCTGGCTCCTGCGGAGCCACTTTCCCTCCCCCAAAATGGAGACGTTGAATGAAATATGTGTTTCCCCTTCCACGCAAACACAAGAAAACAAGGGTGCGAATGAATTTTTGCCAAAGCCACAGTAGGCAGCCATGAAAACAACAAATCCTTCCTTTTGCTCTTGTTTGGGGCTCTAAGTGCGGGCAAGATGGAACAAGAAGCGGCTAGAAAGGCTCAGAAGGCTTTGAAGGTCCTTTATCATAGCCGAGTCAGCATGCTGAATAAACCACCCTGCAGTGTGGGTGGGAAGTCACGTGAAAGGCTCAATGTGACAGGGGCAAACACAATCTGATCCCCTGCAAAGTGAGTCTCACTTTTAGTGGGTTACATGGACCCCCCCGCACTAAACCATCTAAAGAGCTAAAAAGCTAAGGGACCGGATATCACCAGTCTACTTCTGGAGGTCCTCATGACGTCCTTGCCCTAGAAAAAAACACACTGGAATTGTGCGCATGCGACCCCCCAGTGTCAGCCTCAGGTTGGGGAGTGCTTGCTGAAACTAAGATGCCAATTGTCTCTTCCAGCTCTTTGCAGTTGGGGGTGTATCGTTGGGCTGAGACAAGAAACCCAAGATGGACAAGTTGAGACATAGGCCCCCTACAAAGCACTTCAGCCAATTTGATTGTGACTCACCTCGGCCCCCAACTTTATCACACCAGCCACTCAGATAATGCCCCTGTCTAGTATTGCGATACCAGGGTAATGCTTTTATTATTTATTGTAAACTTTAGAATCTTGGAAATTCATACATTTTATAATTGACTCCAGCCCTCACCGCCTCCGGGGCGTATGAAGGTAACCGCTCTCGGTCTCTTCTCTAGTTCCCGCGGCTTCGTCTGGTCTAATTCTCTTTCTCCCGGCTTTCCCTGTCCAGCCGGTGGGATAAGATGAGGACTGACATGAAAGAATCCTAAAAGCAACCAAATGTCCGCTCCTACAAAAGGATTCTGATGGCACCTTCATGTCGGTTCATCTTCTCTTTACCTTGTATTATTTGGATTGTTTGTTTGTATCTTCTAATTACCTTTCCTAACCTTATGAATCTTCTTTTTGGACAACAAACATAAAATAGATGAATTTCTATAATTTAAACCGCAAAGAAAGGAATCCTTGAAGATAGGACCAATAGATGAAAAAGGTTGAAAAGAAAGGGATGGCATTCATTCTCTTATTAACTTTTCATTATCTTTTCTTTTTATTATTGTAATCTTATGAATCTTTCATTAAATCCCATTATCTTCAAGCACTTTTATTAATATCTATCCCATCTTTTCATGTTCCTATCCCTTCCGTAGGTTCTTGAAGGTAGGTTACAGCTGTCAATGAAGATTCCCTCCAACCAATTATTCTTTCCTTGTCATTCATCTTTCTTTGTCATTATCTGTCTCTAGATTTCTTATCAGATTATGACTAAGAGATCCTGAGTCTTGGAAAGAAGAATTGATGGTGTCTGGATTTCTGTGTTAGCTCCCACCTGTCTAATATTGGTTCAGGATTAACTGGTTGGTGGTAGAGATCCAGAGATTATTAGGTGGGAGATAGAAGGATGGAATGGAGATGTGTGTCCTGATCCTTTCCCTTTCTTTTTATTAGGATTTCATGTTACATCTCATCCATAAATTATTTTAGAGAAGATAGATAATGAAATCTTGGAAATAGGACCTCAAAAAGAATATTTAATTTGAAGAAGTCTTTTATCTCTGTCTTTTCCTATGTCTTTCCTATCACTATCTGTTGGTCTTTTCTTTTCTCTTGTCAAGGTTTGTAGTAATTACGGAAATGATAGGAAAGGAAGGGTTCTAGGTCCTGTGGTTTGCCTCCAGAGATCTGGATCCTCGCCATCAACCCAAAGATTTACTCTGAAGGAGAAGCAATGGTCTGAAGGAGAAGCAAATTCAAAATGCTCAGTGGTCCTCCTGGCAAGTTGGTCAAAGTACCAACCGAGAAACCCCCGTAGAAATCGGGTTTGGCTGGAGACTCGATCGGCGTCCACGCCATCATTTTTGACGGAACTCGCTAGCCAGTCTGTGCCTTCTGGAGTTGGGTCAGAGCCTTGCAATGGGACATGATAGCACCCCCAGCTCGTTTGGCAAACACGGGCGGCACATAGTTGCTGCTTTCTTGGAGGAACCAACAAGTCTTGAAGTAGGGTGCGCCACAAGTTGGTTTCCTTCAGGCTCTTCAGTCTTTTGCTTTGAACCACCATCCCAGGGCTTTCTTCATCTCAGGACACACCCTGTGGTTGCAGGGGAGCACTTTCGCAGGACATCCGCCACCTTTGTGGAGCTCTGCCCCGTTTCTCGGGCCCGGATCTGTCGCACGCATCGCGGATCTCCTCCTCCGAGTCGCTGAGCAGGGCCAGCGGGTCCAGCATGCGACGAGACGGAAAAAATCTCCGGTGAGACCCGGCGGCTCGGTCGAAGGAACAGATCCGGGGCGTCATTGAGCCGAAAACCGCAGGCAGCCAAAGATGATTGCAGCTTTTTCCAGAGCTCCTCTTACTGAGACTGCGGAGTAACAGCGGAAGAATCCCCCAAAGTTGACGGTGTTACTGTCTCCAGCCATCAAGTACGGTGATACTGAGAATGCTTCTCGCTTGCTCGGAAGTTTCGAAAGAGCCCGAAACTGACAGAATAGCCATGGACACCTGCTGAAATGGGCCAAGTCCAAAGGTGAAACTCAGAGGAGTTGGCAAGTCTGTCCTGAAAGTAGGCTCGCTGGTTTCCTTTAATTGTCCTGGTTTCCTTTAATTTTCCTGTTCATAGCCACTAACAAGAAATTCCCTTCCTCTAACTACAACTTCCATGTTCACCCAAGAATCCGTCCTTTCAGAGAATTACCCCAACCTGGACAAGAGTCTGGACCCCTCTTACCTTAGACCTTTCTTGTGTCCATCTGTTGAAGCACAGGCTCAAACAACACTCGTCTCGCCTGGTTCCTTGTAGTTCCAAGGCTCGCAAGTTACATGTAAAGCTAACAGTTCGAGCCTCTGGACAAGCCAAACATATCGAACTTTCCTCTGCTCCATCACCAAACATGAGCTAAGACATCCCCAAAGTAAGAGACCTTCATCATGGGTGAGCTGGTTTTTCCCCAGCGCTCACTATGATTCATGCAGACTCAATTCACTTAGTAGACCCGTTTTTGATGGACCACCGCCAGTTTGTATCTGACACTTTACCTACAGTATACCACCATGTTGCAGAACCCTACCTTCGCTTCATGTGATTGAAGTACCCGGGCTTCAGAACCACACAGTACCGTAGCGGCCAGAAGGGACCACTTTGAAACTGCTTGGATGCCTCTGAGTTCCCATTGAGAGCTTTCGGGCCCAACAGGGTAGCACATTGATCTCTCCTGGTTTCCCCGGGACAAGAATCACATCAGGTCTAACTCTGCCGCTTGACCTCCCTTGTTCAAGAGTCGAGTTACCTGAGTGGGAGTTTTCCCTTGAGCGGGTGCAGTGGTACGTACTTCGAGTGTTTTTCTTTCCCTTTCTCTTGTGAGTGGGATCTTTCCCTTTCGACCCACCCGTACTCATGTGCCGTGGTACGAGGTTGCCCTGGAACTCATCGACAAAGGTCACGATGGCCTCGACTGCTCTTTTCGTTCAACGAGTTTCACGGTTTGATTGGGGCGGAAAGCAACAAATGTGAAACCCAGAAGCCTTGAGTGGTGGACGGGGGGGGGGGGGGTTGGTTAGCAAAGTCTTGTTGGATTAAGGGAGACCCGTTTGGATCCGTGGGTGTCTGAAGCTTCTTGGATGCACCCCCTGGCATGAAACACCACTTGGGAGAATGCTCCAGGCATCTTTCGTGAAGACTGGCTCGGAGGCGTGAAGCAGGGAAAACAGTGGTTCGCAGGATGCGAATCAGCTCTCAGTTTTGCACGGGAACAAAGCTCAACCATCAACTTTAAGCAAGGTCAAACGGCCAATCTTCGGATATCAAGTAATCCCACATCCTGAGTGTTTCGTCGATCCCTTGCTAACATCTCACAAATCCCTCATAGCAAACATCGACAAATCTCTCATCTCCTTATCAGAACCCACCTTACTTCCGCTTGCTCAAGCCCCCTGGAAAAACAATAAACGCATTTTCAGTAGTGATAGATTCCCTTTAAAGCCAAAAAAGGGAACAAGCACAACATTGTTCAGCAAATCGCAGCTTCTCAGACCAACTTTGAGTCAACCTCTATGGGTCAGCCTCACCTCGTGGCTGACTCCATGACTCGCAGGCCCCGAACCAAGGCGCCTGCGTCAGCAAGGGGCTCTGCTTTGAGAGCTCCGGGGCCAAACTGGGCGAGGAGAAGGTGTCGATGGAGGCGGTCACCGGGTGGGCCTCCGCCTTCCCGAAGAAGATGAACTTGGAGATGTCCACCAGGGGATTCACCTATGCAGTCTGTACATCTGGGGCTTGAGGTGTTCTTTTTGTTACTAGCCCCGGCTTTTTTACAAGCCCCGGCTCAGCACAAGGCCTTTGCCATGTTGGCCTAGCTTGTCTGTAATGTTGACCCCGGATTAAACCCCTGCTTATTAATATGGGGTTTTAGTGGGGATTTTTATCACTTTTGGGGAACACCCCCATATTAATAAACAGGGGGTTCACCTAGCTTGCAGTCTGTACATGCACACATGGGTGTGAATCAAAATAAAACAACCAGGGGACCGCATATTTGAGTCCTTGGTTCTATTTGCCAGGCTCCATTTGGGGTACCCATTTTTGACCCACAGCCACATCTACCCATACGTATGTATGCACATGCAGTCTGGTATCTGTGTACGTTTCGCATATGCACACGTGCATGAGCATTGCGTGGCAATCACCGGGCTGTTTCAGCTGCAATGATGCAAAGGGAGCTTGTGGATCTTGTGGCTCATGCGCCGCAAAACTACCATGGTTGCAGCTTTCTCCCACTGGACTTGAACCAATTATTGGTTTGAACAACTAAACCCCGAGATCCATTGACGCCGAAGGCCGTCTAGCCAGGTTGGAACATGGCGTACACCCACCCTGAACCCCGCCCCCTGGGTGTCGACGACCCGGACTGCACATCCCTGCGAAACTCAGCTCCGGATCTGACAAGGCGCTTGGCACAGCTTACCTGAGCGAGAGCGGAACTAGGCCTCCGAAGCAAGCAAGCGAAAGGAGTGACTCAATATGGAAGGTGTTTCTTAATTGGTTGGCTTCCTTTTGGTCGTCCTTCAAAACAGCATCCAAATGAAAGCCACCGAGTTTTGGACACCCCCATTGGTTGCCAAGTCAATTCAGAAATAAACAGTAGGCAGCACATATGGCTCAAGCATGGAGTCGGCACACAAGCCGCAATCTCATATGGCTGTGGGTCAAAACCCTGTACTCCTGGTGAACATCAAAATAGGTGGTACATGGGTGTTCATCCGTCTCAAAATGGAGGCATAGGTTATGTCCCATGGCCATATCAGTACTCTTCCCAGCATGGCGGGATTAGGCCCTGATGGCGTGGAGAAAACTTTTGAGAGAATGGTCCACGTGAACCATTCCCAGTACTTTACGATCCTAGTAAGCAGGTCAAGCTGTCAGCCACAACAATCATGATACAAACACAATCGCTCACTGATCATGATTGGAGTTAGGCCCAGTTATAGAGTGTATAGCTTGGTCTGAAGGACTTGGAATAGACACTCGCCCAAGACTTGCCCAATATGGCCATGGGTCAAAATCCGAAAGTTCCGTACCCCCAGTGAACATCAACCAATCCAACCACTAAAATCCCGAATTCACCTACCAACCAAAATGGGATCCCAAAACGGTTTTGACCCACAGCCATATGTTGGCTCTAAATTGACTCCTGGAGCTGCGGATGTGCTGGTAGTCCTTCTCCGTGGTGGCCAGCGTGTTGAAGCTCCCCGTGTACATGACAACCTTATTCGATGCCGAGGAAATCTGGCTGTGGCTCAAACACATGTACCACAAATGGCATTCTGCTATCCCTAAGTGGAACCAAAGACTGAAACCTGTGTAGCCCAAGCTCTTTCATTTTGAGCCACACCCATCTGAAAAGGCGACGTTCCAAACCACCCGCGCCCTGCCCGAGAAATCCATGCTTGAGAGCGAATGGTCAAAAGCAGACGCAAGCCACAGGAAAAAGATGCTTTGCAGATAGCGCGTACACCTCTTGGCCAAATTTCAACCTCATAGTGGCCTTTTTTACATCGGTTTCTGCCAGGTGGGCGGCCAAACAGGTAAAAGGGACCGACCCTAGGTTGAAGAACCCCAAACCGTCTTTGCTTCGGGTTGACTGACCCTGGGTATGGCAAGTAGCGATTCGGGGCTTAAGGCCCAGATCGGATCCGGACTTGCGGCATGAACCCGAACCCGTTCCCAGGTAGGCCCATTGAAACTCCTTGGGCCATGCGCAAGGCTCATTTCACTTTGTTTGGTTGGTAAGGTCTGTAGCAAACAGGAGAAAAAAACACGCAGTTCAAAGTATAGCGGCGTCACGGTTTCAGGGGTTGCGACGTCACCCAACTTTTGCTGCCTCACTCATGTGGTGTTCTCCTTTTTTTCTTCTTTTCCGGAAACGCAAGAATCCAAAAAAGGCCAGTGGAAGAACGCCATTCACGCCTCAAAGCGCAACCAGCTCGCACCGAATGCGTTGATGGTCATTCTGTAAAGTCTTTGAGTGAAGCCTGTATGTTTGCAGAAACTCAACACCAAACACATTGAAGCTTGCAAACCCAAGAGTGAAGATTCCTTCAAAGAAGGCTCAGGACATGATGACTAGTCGGAGCCTCGGCTGAAATGCAAATCCATGGGCTTACCAAGCCTGGAAATCCGCAGGCAACTGCCACGTCGAAAGACTTGGGGATATAGGACGCCCAGGAAACAGTTGGTTTTGTAGGCAGCAAAGCTAAGAGGGCTGGTAACCCTAGAAGGTTGGTCAATGGGTCTCATATTTGACAAATTCCTTTGGTAGAGTCAATAATCCAAAGACACAGTTCGCATGCGCAGAGCAGTTGGTAACCATGAGTCACATGAGTTGACGGCCATCATGGCTTCAAGGCCTTTTTTGTCGATCCAGGGACACATGGACATGCCTCAAAGTAAGCCCGGTACTCCTCCAAATGCCTGGCAACTCTGTCATCTTGATTTGCCTTTACAACCATAACGCATGAATGCCGAAGGGTTGTAAACAATACGAATGGGAGCAACCTTCAAATACGCCTGCCTCAACAACTGTGTGTGTGTGTGAATTCAGGGCCACCCGCAAAATTATGGGTCTCCTTTTGGCTTTCCTTTAAACCAACCTTCAAAAGGGTAGCCTCAAAAACACACACACACACACAACCATAGGTGTCCTTTTGGGGCAAACAGATGGCCCTAGCAGATGATTCAACCACCAGGTAAACCAGGGCCATCTATTTTTGGACCAAAACAACGAACAAGGACACCCATGCACACAACCTTTTTTATTCCCAACAGGAAGAGAGCTGAAAGCACACTCACGTCCCCAGCGAACCAACCGCATCGCTGCCATGAGGCCCGGGTCTTCGAAGCGATCTTTTCAAAGGCGGCGTCGGCCGCGACCTTTTCGATCCTCATCTCTTCGTCTCTCTTGGCGTTTCGTTAGGTACGCGGTGTGTGGTTTTTAGGCAGAGTGCCATGTGGAAATTGGTGGTAGTTTTTCTTGTGTGCTAGCCATTTCGTAGCGCGGTGTGGTTTTTGGCAATTAGTGGCATGTCGACATTGGTAGTACTGTGGACGAAATCCTGCATCACCTAAGAAACCATGCAATGCTGATCACCCTGTAAATGCCAACGATGATTTCCCCATATTTTTCTTGTGTGCTAGCCAGTTGGAGCCTGAGAAACCAAAAACACAAATTGGCCGCAAACCGCAAGGGCGCCAAACGCCGCCCAAAACCTTCCGATCTGCTCCCATGGCAACAACTCCGGACTGAGACGCTGATACTTGATTTAATGCCTTGAGTCAGCCCCACTTCATACAAACAGCTATTTTGGCCAATGCCTTCAAGAAGGGTTTCCAACAAAAAGGGATTCACCTTTTGGATTGCGCTTCAATCAACACCACAACAGAAACACAATTCAAAGGGCCTCCCTATCTTGGGAAACTCGCAACTCGAAGAGGAGGGCCTGGGTAGGTCCTTTTGTGGAAGCAACAAAGGGCCCGTATTTGAGGGTTGCGTAGAGCTTAAACAAATCCAGCCTTGCATTTCAAATTCTTCGTATGGGTATGGCCAGCCCCTGCAAATTGACTTGGTCAAACTGGCCCCTGCAACAAGCGAAGTGCTTGCTACCGAGACAAACAAGTTTGGCATTCTTAAAAAAAGGCTTGTCTCGCTAGATTCATTTGATTGGATTGGCGGCTCCAAACCTTTGATTGCCTATCAAAAGTACAACCCCCCCCCAAGGCCGGTCAAACCGAAGACACGTTTCTTTTACTAGGTCCTCCAGTCGAGAGCTTAGAATAAGGCTACCCTGTTTTTCTGTAGTCTATTTTAGGGGAACCCTCCCCCAAAAAAGTTGGTAAAAGGGCAGGCTGGGGGACCTAGTGTATTGTTCCAACCGAAGCGGCTCGTTTTTTCACCCAACCCCCCCCTCCCTCCCTCCCTCCTTCCCTCCCCGCCCCCGATTCGCGCTTCGAAGGCCGCGGCGCAGATCGCCGAAGCGGTCGCGGCCCGGCGCGATGACGTAGAAATCGATGGGCTGCTCCGCCAAAGTGACGATCTCCTCAACCCAGAGGCTCCAATTCGATGTTTGTTTAGGGCCCGCAAACAGCCAGGTCTTTTTTGAGACCCCCCCACACAATTGCGGGGTGTCTAATGGAGGGGTCGGGTCTTCCATTGAAAGCCCCAGGAGCCTCTGGCAATTTGAGGACCGAGGAGTGGACCGGCCAACGAAAAGTCGCCCCCGGAACACGTTTTCTTTTTGAGATTTACCACGAAAATGGTCCAAAGCCCCAAGTGACTAAGGTCCATGAACTCAGCGGGGGAGGAAATGAGGATTCGGGATCGCAGTTTGGGATTTGGGAAACTTGTGTTTCAAGGGAAAAGGAAACATGGCACAGCTTTGAGGGCTATTTTCGATTCTTGGGCTAGAATGGGGGTGCGGGGGGAGATATTTCTGTGTCTGGTCTGGCTCTACTTTGGACTCCCCACATGCCACATAGCAGCGTGTCCTGCGTTGAAACAACCATGAAATCATGCATTTGGACAAGTCTCCATTCTTGATGTTGATAGAAAGAAACCAGGTCGACACATGCTTAGCTGCGTTTTCAGCGGCCCTATTCATATTGAAAAAAACGTGGGGAGCGCTCAAAAACACTATGGGAGTTGGTTGCATGGCAGAAGCTCTCTTTGAGGGTCCTCACTCCGAGAGTAGAACCACCTTTCCGATTCTAGGGGTGCGCTACTTAAAGGGGCAGGGTACGTCAGGTAAGTGGTTGCAAAAAACATGGTGAGACAACCCGCAACAGCCATGGTTATAAGTCTCCGTTCAGTGGGTTATAACCAGGCTTACTAACCACTAAGAACCAAGCATCAACACAAATAATTGGGTCTGCATCATCGTTGGCCTGTGTACCGAGGCTGAGCCTTGCAGTACACAAAAGCAAGCCAAGCAGCTGGTCTGTCTCCTTTTGGGTCTCAGGATCAACATCTACCAAGTAGATATGTGTGTTTCTCAAATACATAAGTGACGCCCAAAAAATGCAATGATCCTTCCGGTTCCTTTAAAGACGCACCTATAGTAGGATTTAGGGTCCGGCTTTTGCTGCAGAAGCTCCGCAGCGGATCAGTGGCGTAGCGCAACCCACAAGCATATAGCAAGGGCAAATCATCCAGCAGCTAAAAATAAGAAATGAATCCCCAAGTGAGGAACCTTTTCTTTGCGCGACGTTGCAACCCCTGAAACGTGACGTCGCTATACTTTGCCAGATGTGCGAAGGTCTGCGCAACGTTGCTACAGACTCTAAGTGAGGTTAGCCGTCTTACAAACGAACAAACAAGGAATCCTTTCCTGCTCACTTGTCCAAAAGGCCGGGAACAAAAAGCCAGCGGATTGAGGCCATGAATCAATTTTTAACGTGCGGCTGAAGCATGGCTTTCATCAGCAAATGAAAAGGTCAAATAGAAGTGGCAGCTTTGGCACGCATGACGAGTCTTGGGCTTGCATTTTCAGGGGTCCCATTACATATATTTCCGTCCCCGAGGATTCTCGGGCCATAGGAAACACACGTCTTTGTCCGATTTGGACTAAAGGTAAAACTTGCTTTTCAGCTTATTTTTGGTGTGTCCAAAGCGTTGAGAGGGTTCAACCAGTCCCTGTTCAAACACATTCATATGACCCATGGTAAATCCGATAATTTAATGTTGACCCAGGACTAATAAACCCGTCCCACTATTAGGGGGGTGTTCCCTCCAAAAGTGATGAATCCCCACTAAAAGGGGACACCCCACCATTAATCAACCAGGGGTTTATTAAGCCGGGGTTAGCATTACCATCAAAGGCTCAAACTGTTTGGGGATGTCCCGTGCTTTGCGGGATAACCAAACCGCGCGCCGCTCCTGCGCAGCCTGCTGCAAGGCGCGCTCGGTATTTTGGAAGATCTGCTCCGCCATGGGGTGTACCTGACGTGACTTTTGGAGAGATCTAGGGGTAACTTCCCCGTGCTTTCCAGAAAACCACCAAAAACTCTGGGGAAATGGCTGGTTTTTGAAAAGAGCGATGGCTGAAAAGAATGGGGAATCAACCTCTAGAGAGGTGCTTTTACCCGTGCTTTTTCAAAAAACATCAATTCTCTGTGGGTCGCATTCTCGTTCAGCCAACCGCGAGGGAGCGATTACCGGCTGAGCCCGGCCGCGAAAACGCTCGAAGGGAAACGGCTGATTTTCGGCTGCTTCGGCTGAATTCCCGGCGGCAAAGCCGCCGGCTGAACTGCCTCAGGCTCCGTTTTTCCCGGTCAGATGTGCCAATTTTGGGATTTGGTTCGAAGGCGGGTTGGGGGAAAAATCACAACTTAGCTCCAGGGAGAGGCACGTTATTGTCCACCTGCGTGCGTTGGATCCCTAGGCAGCCCTTAAGTCAACTGTTGCGCTTGAGTGGTTCTTGCAGAAAAAACATGTAGGACAGGAGTCGCGAACAACGCGCGTGTTGAGCTAGAGTATCTGCAGAGTGGCAGAATTACACACATTGCAGCTTGTGAAGTGACGACATTTACCGACTTAGAAAGGCCTTTTAGCTTCAAGCATTGGCTCTGGCATTGACGAAAGACCAGCGCGTGCTTGGGGAAAGGGCGATTTAGGTGTCGACTGGTGCCGTGGGCCGAAGGGCTCAAACAAACGCAGAGAAATAGGTTGGACTAGCCGTATTCAGCCAGCAAATTCGATGCTTGAGCCGACAAACCCTCTGCATTCATGTCAGCTCGTGAAAACAAGTCGAGTTCTTGAGGCCTCTTGCACAAAACATGAAAAACCAACTCCCCCGGGTGCAACTCTTGACGCAGTCCCACTTCACTCTGAAGGGTACCCCCCAACCCCCCCACCTCAAACACACCAAGGGAAAGACTAAAATAGACTCATAGAAGACATTTGGAGGTGTGTTTTCGTATGTGTGTGTGTGCTTAGGGGGTGGTGTGTTTGGGTGTCCTCGAAAAAAAGGCTCCATGACGCAGCCCCGCTCGCCTGGCCATCGTAGTATCTCCAGTTCTTCTGGTCCTCCCCGGGCTCGCAGGTGACCACATAGCAGTCCCGTAGCGTGATCCCCAGCCTCGGGGCGATCGAAAGACTCGTACGCAGAGACAATACGGCTGTGGCTCAAAAAACCGGTACCAAAATGGAACGGTAAGTGGAAACATGGACCAAAACCTGCGGTTTGCCCCTCTTGTTCAATTTTGAGCCACACCCATACAAAAGGATTGTTCGCCTCGTGCCGGGTGCTGACCAAAAAAAATCGATTTGTAAAACCCGACCTTTATTAAAGAAACACTAATGTTGATTGCTAGCGTTGGGCATACTTGGCAGTGGGGGGGGGTGCCCCAAACGAACTGACAAAGGGAGGTCGCCCAATTGTCCCGTGTCCACTTGGGGAACTACGAAACTTGTCCGTGGCCAGAAAAGTCCGAACTCTGCCAAAAACCACGTGCGGGCTGTCAGATTTCAATTACCAGTACCATGACATACCCGAAGCTTCTGAGAAGATCAGAATGGGGCCTCAAATTCCGTCAAATTCCCAAAGTCGTGGACTAAATCAACCTGTTCATGTGCGCGGGCAAGGTTTTCCCGCAACCAGACGCACCGTCGCGGCGGCAAGTGTTGGCGAACGGGAGCCAAGCGTTCGTGCTCGAATTGGGCTGTGCACTGGGGCTTTTGTAACTTGGGTGTTCAAAATGGGACCCCATTGTGTAGCTTCACATGTGCTTCAGGTGGTAGAGCGGTGTGACGTTGGCACAGCAGAGATACGAACAGGGAGGAGAGCGGGCTGCATGTGAGCTAGCATCAAGGAATATGTCTAACTTTCACAAATAGTCATGGGTGCACCATGCTGCAAACCCAAACTGGACTTGCAAGCACCACCAAATCCCACGACACTAGTCACATGTAGATGGCAAGGATTTTGGCTTCCTGACTAAGAGCCTTGTCGTTTTCGACTTGAAGACCTATCTCCGTGAAAAGAAGTGGTCGTCCACCCGGATTGAAGCCAAGCGGGCAGTTCGAATCCGACTTGGACAACTGAGTTTGCACACATGCATTCTGAATACGCAGGGCTTGCCGAGATTAGGGACCGCTCATGTTGAACAACAAGATAAACTGTGCCTTCGCACATTCAAGAATCAACATCACTTGAGATGCTTTTCTCGTAATTGGCCATCAGGAGTGTGTCTGCGCAGAACTGATCGCGGTTGCGCAGTGGCCACGGACAATGACCCCTTTATCTGGGTCGATTCCCTTTCCATTTCCTGAGTGGATCGGTCTCAACAAACAACTGTTTGCTATCAACAAAGTTTCCTTCCCAACATAGCACCAAGTCTGCAAACAGAAAGATGTGCGGTTTCAGTTCAGAACCAGCAACAAGTGAACAAGGGAGCCACCAATTGCTCGGTGATTGACTGTCATTAGTCCCGTTTTCCGTGAGATCCCCAGTCAAACGCCATCCATTTGCAGATGGAAATGGAGGCAGTTCCTGAGAGGCTTCATGAACTGCAAGAGGAATCTGACCCCATGCGCCAGCCAAGCTGAGACAATTCTACTTAAGCAGTCGTATTTCACGGAAACAACGACCCCATCGATTTTATTATGGGAACCTTGACAGAACCTGGGAGTCCCATGATATTCGATGTTCACCTCTCCGTTGACTCAAGGAGCTAACTACAAGGCAGGCTGCTGAGAGCTCAGTGCGCGTGAGTGCGCGTTAGCATGCGTACACTTCATGAGGCTCACGTGCTCTACCAGTCAGTTGGGGCCTAGGAAAGCACTAAAGCGAAACCCTGCTCATGGGAAACATGACATAGCATGACGTTCCTTTTCTTGGGGGAATCCACCTTTACCGACTTGTTTTCACAGATTCCCTGGTGCATTGCTGTCGTTCTTCTTTAAGGAACCCTGTGCTTGAGGGCTACGAGGGCTACGTCAAGAACAACGTCGGCGTCAGCTGCGTCCAGGCGCATGAGCCGTGCCAACAGCATCTTCTTCTCAAAGACTCCGCCCCCGTCTTTTGTCGCGAAGTCACAGCTAAACACAATGACCGGCCTGGCCGAAAAAGAAAAAAAACAAAAAAAGACAACAACAACGGTGAGCTAAGCATGCTGTTTTTTTTGGGGAATAATGTCAATATACCTCCCTGGAACCATCAGATTGGCACACACACACACACACACTGGGCGCAGTTTTGCAAGAACCTTTGATGTCTCCTGTGAGGTTCCTTGTTTCTTCTCGCCGTGCAATTCCAGGTGCTCCAACATTCAATCTTTGGCAAATGGTAGATGCAGCAGAACGGCAACGAGGACATTGATCAGGATTCTGCTTGGATTCCCTTGTGCTGCAAATGCAGGCATCTGGCAAACCCTGGCCACGGTTACTGCATAGAGATGCACTGGCTTGCCGCGCTTGAAGCTACACCCCCGCTCTTCGATCCCTGCTTTGGAAAAAATACCGCCAGCTGGCACAGACAACCGGAATGGAAGACTAAGATAGGAGGCACAAAGCAGAAGCTGAGTTGAAGATCGGAGAAGGTAAGCTGTAAGGAAAGGTTCACAAAAGACTAATGGATGCAGCCTTTATTTTTACGTGAACATGTAGATGCTAACTCAGCAAAGAGTCAGGCCCGAACTTGCCAGGCAAAATGGCCATCGTCCGCATAGGGGACAAAAGGGGGGACCCTTTATAGAGGAGGCTTTCTATTCTACGGGGGGTCCAACTTCATTTCTGCTGAACATTTGGCAACAGAAAGTTATCCATCACCATTCCCGGGGTGCAGCCTCTGAGTCATGATACGCAGCCTAGTGCAGCAGTGTGCCTGTCACGCTGTTCCTCATTTTTATCACAACCAAGCAAAGCATCTGAGGAAAGCTTGAATGCGCCTAGGGAACATTGTTGTCACAAAGCTACCAGGAAGCCCTTGGGAGTAGTTGCAAAAGCGACTCGGAACTCACCATGAGGGTCTGCGGCTTTCACAACGAGAAAGCCCACGCGGATTCAATCCCTTAGTGCGAGATTTCAGACTACTAGCGTCGGTCGCAGGACCTGACTCTATCACATGAATCCCTGGCCTAGCCTTGTGAAACCCCCAGCTCGCTGAGCAATTTGGTTCTTGTTGGGCCCTAGCAAGGTTCTTGTCGGTCAGATCAGATTCGGGAAATTTGAGGGGTGGGCAGCATTTCGGTGGTGAACATCCAAATTGGTGACAAATGGATGTTCCACCCCAAAATGGAGCCATAGGTTATGCAACCCATGACCATTTTGGTAGGGATTCAAAATCTCGCACTTTTGAGGGGGGGGGGGAGGAAATTCCTGGGCATTAGGGCTCTGAAGGTTTTTTGTTGCCAGGAATTGGAATGGAGGGCTTCGGCTTCTCATCCCATGGGCGAGGGAGGATGGAGGGAGCAAGGAATCCGCAAGGGTGAATGGAAGAACTCCAACTCAACCTTAAAGCATAAAACGTTTCTTTTCAGACATAGAAGCAGCCAAACAATGATGACTTCTTCTAACTTTCAGACATGGAAGCAACCAAACAATGATGATCAATGATCATTGTAATAAGAAGGATAAGACTAAAAACATCCGTGTTCCCAGATCCCCAATTCCTTTGACGAACCCCGCCCGCCCGCTTGCACGCTCGAAGCGCCAAGCGCCTCGCAGATTCGGGTGCGTTGAGGCGCAAGGCGGTCCACTGCCAGATCTGCGCAATGGCCATGAGGTCGTCCAACTGTGCGAGGCTCGAGAGCAAAAGCGAGGGTCCAATCCCATGGAAGGCTTTTGCACTGGCGATGGGTTTCTTGGCTCCTCAACACCCGATAAAAACTGGCCATGGTTTTTGGAAGTTGAGTGCGGCTTTTGGACATATTTTTCCTGCACTCAAAACCGGTGACCGACTTCGCGAGACACGCCTTCAGGTTTGGTGACTTTCCCTTGGGCTCCCTGGGGCTTGAGATAGCTTGACATGGGCTTGCATCCTGGGATCCGCATTTTTTGGGCTGGGGGGGGGCTGGGGTTTTCATCCCTTCAGACACTCCCAGACTCCCCTTTTCTTGGGTGACAACGAGTGAAGATGGGACCAGATGAACTTTGAGAGCAAACTTTGCAGCGAGGTTTGTTTCGGCAGGGATGTTGGGATGTTTGCCTCTGCTGTGAGCTACTGCTTGGATACCAGAACTTTGAGTTGTAGCCTCCCAAGCTGGCAGGCAAACAACCAACCAAGCACGCAAAAGAAACGAAACAACCAGCCAACCCACCGACCAAACACCAGGACGCAACACACCACAAACAATCAAACAAGGAGACAAACAGTTGGAACGGACTTTCGAAATCCAGTGCTGGCTCGCGGCACATGGTCATATCAATACCTTTCTCCACGTTGGACGAATCGACTCCCTCAACTGCACCGTGCTTTTCCATTGAGAGTTGAGAGCAGCATTCGGCAATTGTTCTCTTCCGCAGCCTGACTCCTATCCACGGGTGTGAGGCTGCTCCATTTCGAGACACCTTTGCTTTGCATCTGACTCCCAGGACGTGCCTCAAAGTCGGAAAAAATGACAATCCTCAGCGCAAGCCACGTGCGTCGCGTTCATGCAGGCCAAGGAGTCACGTGTACCCCACTCCCTGCTTTCAAAGCGCACGTGCAGCCCATTGGCCCAGTGCCCCTACATGTGCACCATTAACTTCTTGGGGGCTACCTCTAGAAAGGCAGGCGTGTGATGCTCATGATCAACAGAAGCATGCCCATGGAAGGTCTTCCACCCGTTCTCCATCGTTCTCCGGGATTTTGATGGAACTTTCTGTGGAGGAAGAAATTGCCAAAGGATCCTGGAACATGGCATGGGCTATCCTCAGCTGGCTCGTGCTCAAGACTCTGAGGCTCCCTGTTACCTCCTGAAGAAAAGCTATGCCCATGGGGTCAGCCCCCCAACAAAAACCATCCAACCGGGTTAAAGGTCAAAGCTGTTGGCCCTGCTCTCAGTTTGCTTTTTTTGCCCGCCCTTCGCCTTTTTTTTGGGTTGGAGGTCTTTTTCTAATGGGCGAGAATAAGGAGAAGGTTCAGGTCTTTATGGATTGCAACTCCCATACAGTTGATGGCCTGGAGAACTGCAACTTGGGTGGCTCCCATATTCCTTTTTGGTCCGGTTTTCAAGGGAAACCCAAGATCCACAGGGAAACCAATTGGAAGGCCCCCCTCGAGGGATCCTTACATTATACACCTGAACATTGCAATTTGTAAATGGTGCTTTCCCTTTATTTTGGTGTTGAAAAAACAACATGTTTCAATGGTTGCAAAATGAATTTCTTTTGAGGAGCCCTCGGCCCCCCTCCCCCTTTTCGGGTAGACAGCACGCGTCACCGCGTCACCGGCGCCGGCCAAGCCGCGGCAGAAGCTTGGCCTCTCGCCGGCTAGGCAGCTTGCAATCTCGCACCTGCGCTCAGCTCGAGGAATGGCTTCTGGTCTTTTGCTTCCGTTTGCTTTTTGCCCGGAAACACACAAAAACACAACAATTCCAGGAGTGATACAAGAACTCCAGTGATAGATTCCGTTTGACACCAAGAGAGGGACATAAACCATACTAAGCAATTGGAAGTTTAGCAACACCTGAGGCTTTTTCGTTTGTCATTTCTACATTTCCTACTGAGAAGCACGTAGGCAAAGAAGGCACCCACAGGAATTCATTCGGGCTGGGGCTGTCCGCTACTCGCTAAGCTAATCTAAGCTACCAGCGAGCCGAATGTGAAGGGCTTCCACGCGCACATTTTTGAACGGCACATTGAGCTGGGTGAGTTACTCTGCACAATTCCAACCCCAAATGTACCAACCTCTAACAAAGGAACCTTTCATTGTTGGGTTTTCAGTCCCGCCCTCTTTTGAGATTGCTCAGATTGATTCGGGAAACGCCTTAATACCTTGGCCTTATGACCCATAGACTCCCACTACTGAAGCTCTGATGATCCGAAATTGAACATTTTCAAGAGAAGGGCCGGCATGGGTAACCTCGTTTCCCACCGAGTGACTGAGTTTGGTATGATTCGCCTGAATATGTGATGCATTCTGCACTTGATTGAACAAGCTGGCCGACCGATTGCTACACATACTGTATCACCCTGCTGCGAGGCGCATGATGAACAACCACCAGTTGAATGTGATGCTTGACATTTGGCACAAGCTCACACCACAAGGAACTCTCCCAAAACTTGCTCTGCACGTCCTATGCATCCGACTCTTGGCTTTCCCTATTCGAGGAAAACTCGCACGCAAAAACGTCACCCTCACCTTCTCCAGGACTTCGTTGACCTTCTTGACCTCCTCCGAACCCGGAGCACACCGGGGGAACTTCAGCACCCCCTCCGCCATGCCTGGAACGGGCACGCATCTTTGTTCACTCATTTCAGGCCCCACATGTTAGATGCCCACATCTAGGTAAGTGCTCACCGTAAAGTTGCAGTGAAGCGCGGCTGACTAGCCAAACTACTGAGAACCCCTGAGGGGATGCGGTTGAATGGGCTTGGAGGCGCAGTGTATGTTGCGCGGAAAGAAGCCAGCAAACACTGCGCACATTGCGGCTGTAGTTGGAGGATTCACACAAACCAACGCCAGGGACGCTTGCGGCACCGGCCAATAGGTTCTCTTTTTTTTTGCTCGCATGTTTGCTCACCTGTCTCGGCCTGTTCCAGATTGCCGGAAGCAAAAGGGAAACAAAAACGCGCTGACACCTTCGCAATGGTCATCCCACGTCACAAGCGCTCCACGTCATGCGTATGGCACGCTCCAACTGCATCCTGCAACTCTGGCGGGCGGCTCCCTGCGACACCGTCCAATCACACGACCAACGTCCAATTCTCAGTGTTTCCCCCTTCTTTAAGAACCCCTATAGCTTGCGGCTATCTGTCTGAGAAAACAAAAAAAGAAATACGTCCATAGTGTACATACACACTATGCGCGTACGTGGTCGCCCGCTTTTTCCAATGCCGGGAACCAAACGTATACAGGCCGACTTGCTTTGGGCCTCCAAGTGTTTGTGTTTCCGTTCCCTTCCTCAATGAGTGACATCCCCAAAAATGACAATGCTAGGAATGTTGGCTAGGCATCCTCACTCCCTTGGCACATAAAGAAAACCACGCAAATTGCAATAGTTCACCGATCAGGGAAAAGGAATCTCCATGTAAGGAAGCTTGCTCATCGTGGAGCCGTGTTCGTCAAAGATCAACACCGGCATGTACAGAAAGTCGGATTCGGATACGCTCTGCAGTGAGGATAAAAAACCTTTGGACGCATAACTTATTTCATATTTGGCTCTCAAACCTGCAAGCATTTTTCGTGGATCTGGTCTGGCGTTTTTATTTCTTTCTGCGGCTCCCTCACCGCAACCGCACGCGCAAACTTCGGTCAGTCCAAACCTGTGCCAGTAATCATGGGGGCTGGGGGGGGAGGGAGGAGGGGGGGAGGGAGCCCAAACAAGCCCTAAATAAGGCCTTATTACGGGCTTAATAAGGGCTTATTTGGGCTCCCTCCCCCTCTGCTCCCTCCCCTTCAGCCCCCATGAAGTAACAACCTGAGGGTAGGAACGCTCGCCTCTCAGAAGCAAGACCGCCCTGAGCTTGGGTTCGAGTGCGGCGCTTGACCCGAAACAAGGTGACGCATGGCCATGGGTCAAAACCCAAATCGCACCAGTGAACATCAACCAATCCAAGCACTAAAATAGGAAGCCTAAAATGGGTGCCATTGGTTTTCACAGCCACACTACCACGGAGTTGCAGTTCTGTTCTCACCGCCGTTGCCAAATTGCCAAATCCGGAGGGCTCCACAAAGCCCAATCAATTCGCCCGAAAGAGCTGGCGCTTGCACATGGCAGTTGATCAATATTCCTGTTTCCGAAAAACGCCATCTTCGCGAGAAAAAACAGTTTCTTTCGCGAATCTTTCGCGACTGCATCGCCACGCCCTTTTGTTTGCAGCGTGCGCTCTGGAGCCATTGTGGCTGCTGCAGTTGTGCTTGCAAACACGGTAGTCGCAGTTCACTTGCGTGCAGTACGTAGTGTCAAGTGCAGGCAGTCACCGTCGTTCGCCCTTGCCACTTGCGGTTGCCGGCGATGTGCGGAACCTTGCAACAAGCTCCCTGGTCTTTCGCCGGTCTTTCGCGGATCTTTCGCGAAACTTGCTCCAAAATAGCCCAGCCAACGTTATTGGTTTGCACCAATCCCAACACAGGCAGGGAATCAATAATGCAAGTGTAGGTGCTGCGTATCTCCCTCTCTACAAGGGAGCGGGGTCTGCAAATATGCAAGTGCACAGGCAGGCCTCCAAGAATTCAACGCGGAATCTTTCGCGAAAAAATAAGTTTCTTTCGCGAACTCCATCGCCGATCTTTCGCGGAGGGATTTAAGCCAAGACGAATGGTCACCGAATACATAACTCCTTGCAAGGACCTTTTGATCAACCCCCACATGACAGCACTCGCTGGCTCTGGCCCCTTTTTTAGGGCTCATGATACCAACTGGTAATGTTCAACATAGACTAAGAGCCTCATGTGGAAATCCAGTGCCACAAATCTTCGACTTACCTGAGTAGTTTGTCCTGGGGAGCATTCCTGTTCAATGGGGGACCGGTCTCTCTCACAAGTGGAACTAGCACGTTTGAGGTGGCCGACGCTGTGGTCGGAACGGGTAAAGTCGTGAGGGAATTCACCAGCCACGTCTTGTCCCTGTCTCAATGACTCAACCCAACAACTTCTCCGGTCACCAGCCGAATATGAGAAACAAAAGCACCAACTTGTTTTTGGGAACCAGCTGAACAGCTGGCTTCGTGAAACAGCATTCCAAAGTGTCGTCCTCCGTTTGAGGGCCCAACGTGCCAAAGCGGGCATCGAAGATCAACCCAAGGGAAGGGCTTCATCTTGGTTTGCTTTCAAAGCAGGCTAAGTGTTTTTCGCCTCCCACCAACATGGAGGTGCACACGCACGCTCCCTTTCCAAAGGGAATTCATTCTTGCAAATCTGAGCTGACTAACTTTCCGTGGGTCAAATTCGGAAATCCCCACCCACTAAACACGAAAATAACAATTCAAAGGCTAAGGAACCGGATGTCTGGAAGCCATGGGATGGGTGCAGGCCATTCAAACCGCCCCCAAGACGATGCGCCAGTCTCCTGCCTTCGGAGGCCGCAGGATGACTATCCCTACCTGAGACCGGGCCAAGGAACTGGCCCGACGAGAAAATGGGAAAGTCCCGGCAAAACTTGGACTTGAGCGTCTGAAACCTCGGTTTTGCCGGGACCAATTCAGGATGACCCGGAACTCCGAATATTTTTCCTGAACATGGTGGGTTTCTTGAACTGATTGGAACACAATCATCATGATTTGGCAATCTGAAATGAGGATCCCCAAGAAAAACAATCCTTGTGATGGGGGTGCTTGCATCACTGTAGAGCTCCTCCTGAATTTGCTATGCTTTGCCCAAACAAGCGGGGCCTTGAACTATATCTGCAAACCACGAAAACCATCGTAGGATTCAAATGTTGTTGTGAGATACCAAAGTGAATATGATCGAACGATTTGGACAGGCACCTAATCAGAGAAAAACTCCACATGTGACATAATTCTTCTGGATAATTCACTAGGTCCTCAAGTCGAGAGGTTTGGATAAGGGCACCCTTTTTTCTGTCTATTTTAGTTGGGGAGTCCTCCCCCAAACAAGGGTAACAGGGCAATACTGGGGGACCAAGCAGAGGTCGCAAGTCAGAGACCTTCACTGGTCGAGCTTAAAGCCAACCAATTGGTTAAGGCCCAGGAAAAAAACAAAAATATTTCCAGTAGTGATGAATTCCTTTTAAACCCAACAAAGGAAAATAGAAAAACTATTCTTAAGCAAATGGAGGCCAACCAACCATTTGCCAGTATTTATCCCACAATCACTCTAGCTTGTTTAGCAGGTGCCCAGGTAGTTGAAGACAACGGAACACATACCAAGATAATTACACGATCCCGCCCCCCCCCGATCCAACTTTCATGTTCCATTGGTACGGCATGTGGATATTGTCAGCTTACACATCGAAGGTCTGCTGGTGCCGAAAGACATCACCTGGAGGGCCCTCACATTCTCTTTGAGGGTGGGCGACCCCAAACAGGCGACTAACATTCCTGGAGTTCCCCCATGATTGCAGGGGCGGGGCCCTTACTGTCGGCAATCTATACAGGGCGGCGTGGGTGGAGAGTCCCTGATGGAATTTGGTGTTTCCCGGTCACCCCCCTGTCCCAAATTCATGACCAATGTTTTAAAAACTTGACACTCACCCCTGCAAAAGAAACGACTCTTGTTGGTCAACGCGAAACTGATGGGACCCCCAAAAATGCAGACTGGCAAATTGGGCTCGCCTTGCTTGGTTTCTGGGCCTGTCGTGCAATCATCTGTGCAACGGGGGTTCGGCGGTTCAGGCGGGGTTTCCCATTCACCTGGATATTTTTTCGTGCTGCGAGAACGGACACCTTGAGCCCAAAATCCTGGCCGGCCAATCTAGTACGGAGCTTTAGTCCTTGGTTTTTCGAGCTTACCTCAGGTATCCCGCAGTTTGAAGGCTAAATGCGTGGAGAGGTTGTTAATAGAGAATCTGGGAACCAAAGAACGTGTATGAACATTGGTTTCCTTTTTGGATCGTCAACAGTGGTGTCTTTTGGAAGATCAATGCTGGGCTATTTAGCACCCAGTTGCTCCATTTGCTTAAGAATAGTTTCCTATTTTCCCTTGTTGGGCTCAAAAAGGAATTCATCACTACTGGAAATATGCATTTTTTGCCTGGGGCCTTAACCAAATGGTTGGTTGTCAATTGGAATCCAAGTTGATACTTTCCTTCTTACTCATGCGTAGCTGCCATGCCCAAAGTGGCCTGCATGCAGTGTTTCAAAGTCAATCCTGACTTCCCATTTCCATACAGTGGATGAACGAAATCCTGCACCACCTAAGGAACCCTGGAATGATGGTTCCCCTGTAAATTCCGATAAACAATGGTTTCCCACGGTTCTCAAGTAGTGCAGGATTCTGTCCATCCACAGTATTTCTCATCAACGCGAAATGCATGGATCCCAACAGGCAAAGGTTTCAACCTACGCCAGCTGATGTCACTGGGGGCATGCAGGGTCAGCAAGATGAATCAAAACGTTGTCAGTTGCGAGTTGCGAATGTTCCATTCTGCGGCTGGAAACACGGCCCCATTGCAATGTGCTGAATCAGTGCGATGCACATACCATCCTGTCTCTTTAGAAGCTTCAAGCAAGCCGCGGCCTCTGCTTCGGCCGCGACAATCAGCACTAAGGATCGGACTGCCTGCTGTATCGTCCGTGAATGTCCTACGTCCTATGTTTTGTGCTTTGATATCCTGATAATACTCTGGGTAACTAGCCCACTGACTTGAACTTCACACGTCACATGGGTCTTGGCAACTGCCGATTTGTAGAGGAACCTTTAACGACATATCAAGTGAGTCTCACGTCACTCGGGCTGAAGAGAAGCGAGCAGTGGCCGTTGCTGTCGGCGTTCACTCCATTTCTATAGGCTCTCTCATCATGCGGCTACGAGCCAAGGGGCGAGTGGCAGGACGCCGGGTGCATTCTCACCCGTTCTCTTTAGAGTCACGTTTCTGCGCCCTAGCGCTGAAAAAGCCAGATAGTGAACTTGGGTATAGCTGGAACTGTCACAACTTCAAATCCAAGCAACGCATTTGTCGAAAAGGGTCCGCGTGGAGACAGTTTCTACACGGCACACAATTGCAATACGGTATCTCCCCCACCAAACTAGACAGAGAGGTACACACACACGGACACACACGGACACAAATACACATACACAAGAATACGCACAAATACTCACGGAGACGCACAGTGACACACAGAGACACGCAGCGACACAGAGAGAGACAGAGAGAGACAGAGAGACACAGAGAGACACAAAGAGACACAGAGAGACACAGCGAGAAACAACGAGACACAGGGAGGAACACAGAGATACAAAGAGATGCGGCGAGAAACACACAGAGACATATATACACGCACACCCACACACACACACATACTCGTGCATGCACACACGCACACACGCACACACCTAGCCACGCACAAACCCGCCACAACAAAGAAACAATGACACCAAGAAACCAAGAAACCAAGCAACCAAGAAACCAAGAAAGAAAGAACAAAATAAAGAAAGAAAGAAAGAAAGAAAGAAAGAAAGAAAGAAATAAATACAGAAAAAAGAAAGACAGAAAGAAAGACAGAACGACAGAACGAAAGAAAGAAAGAAATAAAGAAAGAAAGACAAAAATAAATACATAAATCAAATCAGAAAGAAACAAGACAGACCCAAACAAACAAAACAAACGAACACAACAGCAAAAAAGCAAACAAGCAAGCAGCACACAACCACATACACATACACAGACACAGACACAAGCGGCAAGCGGGCCTGGGGTGTCAGGTAGTGCCGCTTCACCGGAGCCCCGCAGTCCTGGCACCGGGAAGCGGGGGGGGGGGGGTGATATCCAGAGGAAAAGCTCTTTGGTTTGTCGTTCTTCGTTCTTTTTTTTGGGGGGGAGGGTTGATATCCATACAAATTTTCTTCCTTCTGGCAAGGGAAGTGACATCCATGAGGAAGTCTGCTTTGTTCCGGACAAACCTCCGAAACTGATATTGCAAGGCTGTAGAAAGCCTCCACTTGCATAAGTCCCCTGGAAAAATAATAATATTTCCAGTAGTGATAGATTCCCTTCAAAACCAACAGGGGGAAATAAACAAATATTCTTAACCAGCTGGAAAAAAAGAAGCTCCAGACCGGGGTGCAACAGCCTGCGCAATGCCGATATACTTTGCCTGGAGTACATGAACTGTTTCCAAGCTGCTATCGCTTCGCAGCGTTGCGGTCACCCAACAAAGCACTCCGGCATTTGACTGAGTCAGATCAGAACAGAGTCTAGATCAAATGATCTCAGTCGTCGGGTTGCCTGACTACGCGAAGACCCATAGATAGGAGACATATTTCGGGCGGAATCCAGAGCCCAATTTGTTCGACGGAACGTGGCTCGGAAGCCAAGATCTGCCGAAGTTTTGCTCTGGGCAAGGCTGAGGTACAAAGCCCACTGGCCGCAGCCTGTGCACTTTTTCGTGTTTTCATGACGTGTTGCTTTGTCGAAAAAGAGGACGGATCGAGAAGTCAACATGAGGAGCACAGGGAAGCCTCCTTGGGCATTGGGCGTCCCAAGGAAGAAGCTAAGGAGCTACCTGCGCGCCCAGATGTTTTGTGGACATGCTGGCCCTTTGAGTTCAGAAGCCCAAGTTCAATTATTCACTTGCCCAAAGGACCTGACAATGAAAGGTTTACCTTTAGGGTTCTTTGCTATGGACCAAAAAAGGAAAACTCAACGGTCACAAGCCCATTCGCTTTGAACAACTGAGGAGCCAGTTTCGCAGTTTACTCCAACTCATTCCACGGAAACTTCTGTGGCTTCCAGTCGTCCTTGCATGCGCTGTCTTTGTCGCCGTGTGTGCACATCAAGCTCAGCCATCCTTCTTTGCACCTGCCATGCAGTGACATCTCAAAAAAACCGCTGGAAACAACAACCATCCGACCCCCCCACCCCGACTCCATGGCGCGCGGCCAAAACCCCTGCTCCAGCTGCCTCCAATCCGCCTGAAGCGCGCCTGGAAGCCCAGGGTCGGGAAGCGGTCAGATCCCTTCGAGAAAGGGATCTTGCTCCCCGAAATTCCCCCTCCTTCCAACTCCGGTCAAATCGCACTAGAAACCAGTCAGATCTCCTTAAAAACCGGTCAAATTCTCCTCTAGAAAGCCTCCGGCCAAACCCCGACAGAAACCGGTCAAGATCCCCTCTCAAAGCTGGTCCAACTCTGGTCAAATCCCTCGAACCCCCTCAAAATCGGTCAATTTCCCCTCCAGAACCAATCAAACCCCCCCTTATAAGAAACTGTAGAAATCCCTCCAACTCCAATTAAATCCCTCCAGAAACCGGTAAAATTCCCCCCAACCAGTCAATTCCGCTCTTGTTCTGGCCCTTGAAGCCGTGTGGAAACATACAGACATGCACACACCCTCTACCTTGGAAACCAGCTCACGCATTTTGGCGCCGACTCACTCAGTCTAATAAACACAAGACTTCAAGGCAAACTAAAGCACGGTGTACACCTCAAAGCCAGCCAAAAGCGGACTGGCCGAGGCGGGCAACGCGAAGCGTTTACAATTTGCGATGTGCAACAAAGGAGGCAGCCTTTGCAGTTTGAATGATTGAATGCGATTTGGTACGTGAAGCTAAGCAACGCATTGGACAATAAACATTGACTTTCTTGTTCTTTCCAAAATAATTACGCTAGTCGGGTTCTTTAGCACCAAATTCAATACTATGCGTGCTGGGTCGCCCAAACTCAGCAAGCCCTCTGGATGTTCGACCATCAGAAAGGTGCCCTTTCTAGAGATACCAAACTGTAGTTGATCAATCTGGCACGCAAATGGTTCTCCACCTCTGACGGTTCCGGAGGGATCTATTTAGGCAAAGTAGTAGCAACACTCGTGAAGCACATGCAATGAAGGACATCCTGTTGCCTGCAAATTTGGCACTGCCGCAAAATTGCAAGATTCACGGGTCCAAACGACCCGCTTTCGTAATTGGCCAAATGTTTGCGCGGATTGTGACAGTGAGGAACTTCGGAAGGGCGTGCCCAACATTCCACACATGGGTGTTTTGATGTGAACATTCATACTATGAACGTGAGTTGCAACGAAGCGAGTCTGCATTCAAAGCCAAGTCATGGATTCATCGAATGCAATGCGCCAAACCAAACAACTGCTCACAACGTCAAACGGACCACAACAGGGTTGTGGGGAATGACCACTTCTGTGATACAACAGAAAGGGCTTCCCAAAGACTCTTTTGTTCTTATAAAGGGGGATTCCCTTGTATCACAGAAGTGGGTTTCTCCCCCTTGATCCCACAACCCTTGACCAAAACAACAAGAGGTGCCAAACCTTTCTTCCCACAACTCATTCAAACAGAGCGGGTCACTTGCTCATAAAATAAATAAGCTCGACAAAGAACGAATGACACTACTTTCTCGAATAAGGAACCCAGCAAGTCGACCATAGTGCATCTTGATTTCGCTTTGACGCCGGCTGAAATGCTGAAAAGTGGGCTTCGCAATCTTGGTGAACCAACCAGGCAAGAATAGGGGGGTTGTTGTGGTTGGTGGCAAAGGCTTCCACGAGTGAAGGGCACACCTGACACATCGACGGACCAGGGGGATCTGTGGAGTGTTGACCGGCAAAGATCGATCGGGTTTAAGACCTAGGCTACGCGCCTTGTGCATTCTCGCACCGGTGCGTAGGGCTCCTTGTCGTAGCCCAAAGGAAAGGGGCGTGTGGGTGTGTGTGTGTGTGTGTGAGTGTGCGTGTGCGTGTGCGTGTGCGGGTGCGCGTGCACGTGCGCGTGTTTGCTTGCACGTGCGCGTGTGTGTGTGCGTGCCCGCGTGCGGTTCGCATGGGCGCGCGTGAGTGCGTCCTTGCTGGTGTGCTGTGCATGCCGTGCGTTGCGTGGCGTGGCGTGCCGCGCGCATGGGTTCGTTTGTATGTGTGTCTATGTCTGTGTCTGCGTCTGTTTATGTTTGTGTGTTTGTGTTTGTTTTTGTTCTTGTGATTGTGTTGGTGCTCATGTTCGTATTCACGTGAGGCGTGATTCTTGTAAAGGCACAATTAGGGTGTGTTTCCCTGGCAAACGTGCAACGCACTCCAGACTGGTCACAGGGCTCACTCGCCTTCTCAAACTCAGGCATTCGCCAATGCAGCCGAAGCGAGTGCATGCAGACCTCTGTGTAGACGGTAACAGAGTGAGAAAGTTTGACCAGATGTTGACGCCTGCGCCGCAGGCGCCAAGCAGCCATTGCAAATCCAAGTGTCATTTTCTACTAGGTTCTCCAGTGGAGAGGTTGGAATAAGGGTGCCCTTTCTTTTTCTGTAGTCCATTTTAGTAGGGGAACCAACCCCAAAAAACAAGGGTAAAAGGTCACTACTGGGGGACCTAGTCTAGCAGGCACGTTGGCTCTGAGTCCGACCCATGTTGAACATATATGAGCGCAAGCCCTGCAAACAGATGCAAACAGAAACCGTTGCTGCGTGTTTGCTGCTTCTGTGTACGCAAGGCCGCTCAAGGCCATTCAAACTTCAGCCTCCCCTGATACAATCGTGTTTTGCCACAACAGGATAGGTGGTCACCTGCCACTTCGCAAGGCCTGGGACAATGGACATCGCTGGAAGGTGGAAATGGAGCCAGACACTATGTCTGTGAG